CACAACATTTGTTTCATATTGTTAAATGCACTGCGGGCTTTCTCTATTCTTATTCTTATTTCTCTGGTGTATTCGTTTGACTCGTTAATATTTGTTCCGAGGTAATTGTAATTTTGTACTCGTTCAATGAGATTCTGTCCTACATGTAAGTTGATATTATTGATACGTTTCTTTGTAATTATCATGAATTTGGTCTTCTTTGTATTCAGTGACAGACCAAATTCTTCACTTGCTTCTACCACTTTGTTTAGTAATCTCTGTAGGTCGTCAATATTTTCTGCTATGAGCGCGGTATCATCAGCATATCGGATATTGCAAATGGGGTGACCGTTGATCTTTATTCCGGCTTTTTCGTTCATAAGAGCTTTTTTAATAACTTCTTCCGCGTAGATATTGAACAAGGTTGGAGATAACACACAGCCCTGCCGAACACCTCTTTTGATCTGTATTCTATCTGATATCGAGCTGTTAATTCGTACTGTAGCTTCTTGTTTGTAGTATAGATTCCTTATCACTCGCATGTCCCTTGTATCAATATTTTTATTTTCCAGTATTTGCATCAGTGGCCTATGTTTTACATAGGCCACATAGAAAAAATGTCTAATATACTGCTATTCCTACATGTATACCAAAATATGCAATTATATGCTCTTAAATCTTCAAATATTGCAAGGCATATGCATTTATGAAAATCATTAGAAATATGCAGCATATACAGGGTGTCCCCGAAAATGGTTCTACTTTTACTGTCCTTGGCATATGTTTTTAAAATCCTCTGAATATTTATCGAAAGCTAGTGAGGCCCATTGTTATTTTGTTTTATCGAACACAAAATTGGAAAGTATAGTAAATGTTGAGAAATTGAAAATTTTGGTTTGTTTTTAAAATACGAAAAATAAATGGTTTAAAAAAGAGTGTGGAAGAAGATTTTCGATGCTGGATGAATTTGGGAAGGAGAAAAAGGTAGTTATCTGTTTTTGACGTTAAAAGAACGAACATCCAATGCTGACAAGTAAACGAGTGCCGGCAAATTCCAAAAAGTGTAAAAGAAATTTGTGAATAAGAATTAAAAAGTCGTAACAGTTTTGGTCTATGAATGCTAATTGGGGATAGTTGCAGTTTAAGTTTTTGCAGTATTTATTATAAGTACAAACCAGTTAATATTCGTCGAGACAAACAAGGACAAGGAGATGTCTGCCAGCCAAATTTGTTAATTGTTTGTAAGAAAATATCTGTTGTAAGAGTAAGTTTGATTTGGGCTTTGTAGTTCAATTTGTCAGGATAGGAAAACATAAGTGTACCATTGCTAATCAGTCAGAATATCAGACCGGTCTCATTCCCCCCTATCTGACCCCCAGGTTTTTCCTTCACCCCTCCTCTACGTCTGACATACACAGAGGAGGCTATGAACTATTACCTCGGGCGATTTTGGGAAAAGAAAACACCGTCCGTTTTTCTTGACTTGTGATTAGGCCACCTGACTGTAGGGGCAGCTTAATGTAGCTTTTCTCCCTATTTACTTTACTGAGTTTAATCGTAGCTTGACTTGGACTCTGTGTCCCGGAAAAATGTGTGTCGGCAGCAGGCTGCCAGCTCACTGTTCGGAAATTATGTGCTCGATTAGGCAGTCGCCAATTTGGCAAAACAAGTTTTGGTCTCCTTACCGGCTGAGTGATCGATGGGTCTGGCCATCGAGCCCGAGTTTGTCGCACACGGTCACGGTGCTCAGGTTTCGCGATTGCCTAGGGCAATTTGGTCCTGAAGGGCTGTTTCCTGAAGGGTCTTTTCCCTGAGGGGCATGCTTGAGTGGCCTTAACCTTATGGGCTGTAGTGAAGTGTGGATCTGTGTCCAGCTGTTTTAATTTCTTTACAGTTAACAGTTTGTTTGTTAGTATGGGTTTTGGGTGAAAATAATAAAGGGTAGGTTTTAAAGTTTAGGGAGAGATTTCTGAGTCCATATAAGCTGCTGTAATGCCATTATGGTATCATGGCCATCTTCTTTATATAGTTCAGCTAAAAAATTATCTATTTCAAGTGATTTTTTTCTGGTTAGTTTTTTAACTGCATCTTTAACTTTAAAAATCTTTGTTGATTCCTCTTCTCTCTCGTCTGTTCCCCTTACCTCATCTCTTTCATATTTTAGATTTTCTTCTTCTTCCTTTATATTAAGTAACTGATTAATTATTTCACCAATCTATTCAATACGTCTTTCCTTGTTGTTAATAGGTCGCCATTCTGCCTTGAATTCTTTTCTATTGATGTTAACTTCCTTATAGAATGTGCTCTGAATTCTTTCTCTCTGTTGATGTTTTCTATATGTTTAAGATTGTTATTTAGGTGGTTTTGTTTTTTTTCTTTTGTGTAGACATACAAGATATTCTACAACATTATATTTAATAGTTTTAATAATTATATTAAAATTCATTAAAATTAGAAATTATATTTCATTTTCTAATAGATTTCAAAATCATAACAATATACATTATGCATTTGCATATAATCCAGTCTCTATTATATAAATTATCACATATATTAATAATTTGTTAATTCATTGGAGTAAGTATATAGAACCACAATGAACAATTACTGATAAAAGTTAAAAAGGTCCTTAAAACGTTGGTTTTATTTAAAAGCACCAAAAACGCTATTTCTGGATTCTTTTACGATCTTGTTTGTCCTTTAGATGAAGAAAATATAAATTTTTTCGTTTATAAATTAAGAATGTATTCTTCTTCTTTAAGTTCCATCTTCTATCGAAGGTTGGAAATCATCATGGCTATGCGGACTCTGTTGACTGCCGCTCTTAAAAGATCTGCACTACTGCATTCAAACCATTCCCTTAAGTTCTTAAGCCAGGATATTCTTCGTCTTCCCACATTTCGCTTTCCTCGGATTTTGCCCTGCATAATAAGTTGTAATAATGCGTATTTTTGCCCTCTCATCACATGTCAAAAGTACTCAAGTTTTCGTCTTTTAATAGTTAATATTATTTCCGCCTCATTTCCTATCCTTCTAGTTACTTCCATGTTTGACATTCTTTGAATCCATGATATTCGTAGGATTCTTCTGTAACACCAAAATTCAAAGGCGGCCAACTTATTCAGATGAACTTGTTTTAGTGTCCAAGCTTCCAGACCATAAAGAAGAGTAGAGAACACGTAACATCGAAGCATTCTCAGGCGTAGTTCTAACCTTATATCCCGACAACAAAGAAACTTTTTAAGTTTAATAAATGATGTACGTGCTATTTCAATACGTGTCTTAATTTCTTTGGTTTGGTCTACATCTGATGTTATCCATGTTCCTAAGTATTTATAGTTATTAACATTCTCAATTGCAGTATCTTCAATAGTCAATTGGATATTTGCATGTGCAGATTTAGTCATGATCATACATTTAGTTTTCTTTAAATTTATCTTCAGTCCGTGCTCATGACAGCATTCATTAAGGCGTTGCATTAGGTTCTGTAAATCATTGTTGTTATCTGTAATTATTACTGTATCGTCTGCAAAACGTAAGTTATTCAAAACTTCTCCATTGATAGATATACCTTCTATTGAGTCTGAGAGCGCTTCTTGAAATACCGCTTCACTGTAGACATTGAAAAGTAGTGGGGACAGCACGCAACCCTGGCGGACTCCTCTCTGTATTTTGATATTTTCAGTGTACTGGCTGTCAACTCTTACCTTGGCAGTTTGATTCCAATATAAAGTAGATATAATTTTCAGATCACGACTGTCAATATTTTTGCTTTTTAATATATCTACAAGCTTTTTATGTTGAACTTTATCAAATGCCTTTTCAAAGTCTACAAAACATAAGTACATATCCTGATTCATGTCCATGCATCTCTGAGCTAGCACATTCAAGCCGAACAAAGCATCTCTTGTACTCATACCATTTCTAAAGCCAAATTGTGTCACTAATCTCATGTTCAAGAGTTTTAACAATTCTGTTGTGAATTATTTTCAAAAATGTTTTAAGTGTGTGACTCATTAAAGCTATTGTTCTGTGGTCTGAGCAAGTTGTTGAACTTGGTTTTTTGGGAATTGCTACAAAGGTTGATTGCAGCCATTGTCTGGGGATTGTGGCAGTCTGATATATTAGATTAAAGAGTTCAACCATTACATCAATAACATCTTCATCGATGAGTTTTAATAATTCGATGGGCACCTCATCTGGTCCAGTAGCTTTACCCTTTTTTGTGTTTTTGATGGCATAGATGACTTCTTCTCTTAATATTGGTGGTCCAGTATCCTCGGTGATTTCTAATGACAGTTCTTCTCTTTCATCATTAAATAGTTGTTGAATGTAATTGGTCCAGTGACATAATCTCTCCTTCATATCAGTAATAATATCCCCTTTATCATTTTTAAGGATATTCGTTTTTGTACACTTTCTAGAATCTGTCATTTCTTTGATTTGTTTGTGTAAATTAAAGCTATCGTACTTTTTATCCAGATCTTCTATTTCCTTGCATCTATCGGATAGCCACCTCTCTTTTGCCTCTCGAATTTTCTTTCTGATGTTTCTCTACATTTCTTTGTATTCATCCAGGTCTTTGGCTTTATGTTTTCTTCGTTCTTCCATGTATGTATTAAAACAGTAAATTTATTGTTTTTAAACTCTTTATTGAGCAAATATTGCAAATAAATACTAATAACAAAATTTCACAACCGTAGTACATACATTTAAACATTTGCTAATAATATCTACACATTTTCCGCAGACTTTATCCAGGTCGTCTTCGTAAAAATTTCCAGTGAAAGATCCAACAAGAGGATTAATTCAACAGATCGTGAGATCAGATATATTAGTTTCCAGACAGCCTTGTTTCTGCCTGTAGGATGGACATTTGAAACTAGAAATTAGAAGAGGTTGAAGAAGGAAGTTTTTTACAGAAGAAAGAGAGTAACAGCTTTATGAAGTCTTCCATCTTTATTGAATTTTGACTGGAATATTTACGGTTTTGTATGGCAGTGTTTCTTTTTGATGAAGGTTTACCAGTGTCCGGCTAATCCATGACCGGCCCATCCATGACCAGCCCAGGCACCATGACCGAGTCCCCAAGCACCATGACCGAGTCCCCAAGCTCCAACACCTGGAAGAAAAAAATAAAAAATTATAAGTATATATTTTATAAAAAAATTACATTAAAAATTAACCGAAGTATTTATGGTGTCCAAAAAATTCTTAATTATTCCTTTCTATTACTTTTTTTAATTTAATGACCATTCCAATTGAATAGTACGTTTTCACAATAGAGATGATTTTAGTATGATAACTTGACTATGTTTGATAGTGTCAACAACTGTTTTGCATTAAGGACTGTTATTTACTACATTAGTCGATTTATTTCTTAATTATTTTCCACACTTATCCTTCTTTTTTCTTGAAATATTCTGTTTGCTCTGCTATTATTATTATTAATATTTAGATTCAGCCATACGGCTCACAGTCCCTCTAAGGGGAAAATACATTCATCCCAGATAACTACGGTATCAAAAGTATTGAGTTCTGGTGGGACTCTTTCCGTGTTATCGAGTTCTAGGTGACTTGGTATGCTGGAGTTCCTCCCAAAAATTTTCCTACACATTTGTACGTCACGAAGAGTACAGCTTTCTGCATGGCCTTATAGAGATGTTCATTTAGACCTAGTTGTTTTATGTCCTCTAAGAGATTTTTGGTAATAACACCAGCAGTAGACAGAATAAGAGGTAGTGTCTGGGTACTTTCTATTCTCCATTGTCTTCCAATATTATTATTATTATTATTATTAATGTAATAAAAACTTACCAATAGCTGGACCAGCGACAACAGCTGGGGCAGCAACAGCGGGGGTGATGAGGGCACCGTGGTTGACGGGTCCAATAACAGCGCTAGGTGCAGCTACGGGTCCGATAACAGCGCTAGGTCCAGCTACGGGTCCAGCAACAACAGCTCCATGAGTACGGGGTCCAATGACAGCACTAGCTCCAGCAACGGGTCCAATGACAGCAGCTCCAGCGGCGTGTGGGCCAGCAAGAACGGCTCCGTGAGCTGCGGGACCGGCGAGGATGGCTCCATGAGCTACGGGAGCGGCTAGAAGAGCTCCGTGTCCCCAGCTAGGGGCGGCTGAGGCTACGGCCAAGGTGGCGAAGAGTGCAAGGACCTGTAATTATAAAGTAAGTTTCATTGTAGGTAACCACAAGACAATGAAGAAGTCAAAATGGCGAAATATTAACAACAAGGGAAGATGTATTGAATCTCAGTCTAAATTCTAAAGACAAAAAATATAGACCATAGGGACAAATAATAACAAACCTCTACTGGATTCAAAGAGCACAAATCGTAATAGATAACGAACGCAGTCCAGATATTAAAATCAGGAGAGGAGTTAGGCAGGGATGTATTATGTCCCCACTACTATTAAATGTATAAAGTGAAGCCATTTTTGAAGAAGCATTACTATCTCAAAATAAAGCAATAATGATTAACGGAAGATCTATTAACAACATAAGATATGCAGATGATTATGGCAAACTCTGCTGAACAATTCTAATTACTGCTAAACAAAACAAACAGTTTCTGTGAAAAATATGGACTAAAAATGAATATAAAAAAGACCAAATACATGATAATAACAAAGAAAACAAATATACCAACAAACATACATTTGGGAGATGTACTGATAAAAAGAGTTGATAAATACAAATACCTAGGAACCTGGATTTCAGACAATAATGATCAAACAACCGAAATAAGAGCCAGGATAGAAATAGCAAGAAATGCGTTTGTAAAAATGAAAACAATTCTCTTCAACAAAGACCTTAGATTAGAACTGAGAGTACGAGCACTGATATGCTACGTGTTTTCGATACTGCATTATGGACTTGAAAGGTGGACATTGAAGCAAGAACACATAAATAAGTTACAGTCCTTTGAAATGTGGTGTTACAGAAGGATGCTTAGAATGGCATGGAGACAGAAGAAAATTAACACGGAAGTATGGCGAGAAATGGGTAAAGAATGCGAAATAATAAACACAATCAAAATAAGAAAGTTACAATATCTGGGACACGTTATGAGGGGACTGCTAAGGATGATAATACAGGGAAAGATAAGAGAAAGAAGGAGTATAGGAAGAAAGAGAATGTCATGGTTAAAGAATTTAAGGGACTGGTTTAAATGCTGTTCTGTAGAACTCTTCAGAGCAGCATTAGTTAAAGTAAAGATAGTGATGATAATATCCAACCTCTGATTAGGAGACGACACTTAAAGAAGAAAGGAAAATACGAAAAAGGATATAGAAATATAATAAATATAATTTTGTATTAAAAAAATACAAAGACACTTATAGCTAGAGCTAAAGATTTCGAAGTTAAGAAATAAAATAAATTTGTACATCAACAAAAAAATAAGAAAACTGGAATTAAGTTGCTTTCGTTTTTTAAGCAAAATTAATAATATGATTAAAATGGGGAAGGAGGTAAAATTCAAGTTTAAAGTTGAAAGAAAATAATAAAAAAATGGCTTAAAAGTAATTATAACTCCCAAAGAATTGAGGCTAGAAATTTCAAGGAAAATTCGAAAAATGATATATTTTTCTGAAAGTGCATAAATATATCAAAAATTTATAAATTGTAATAAAGAAAGGACATAAAAGTGTTACAAAAATAAGATAAGATTCAAGTTTTTTAAATTGATTTTTAAAATAATATTGCAATTCTTACCAAAGCATTCATGTTGAGATATGTCTGAGAAACAGTACAATTACAGAACCGTTCACCCCGATATATATACATTGTTTTTGACCTTCCTACTATTTTTTTTAACAATTATTGTTGCTCTAGGTACTAGTAATGTTAAATACCGGTAACGCCTAATAACGGAGACAGATTTTTTAATTGCAGTAAATCATTGCATGAATATTTTAAGATTTATATGTAATGGCAGTTCCTGCACTGTGTGACAATCTAATAGTTTATTGTAGTAAATTTTTGTTACCTGTTTATTAAAGTTACGAATTTCAAAGTATAGATTGGTGAAAACGTTTAATTAGAGCCAAAAATTTTTAAATAGTTTAATGAAAAAACATAATTGTAAAAATAAAATTGCAGATTACACCTCAAAGATAATAATTGAAAATCTGCAGGACGACACAACAAGATATTTATATCGAACACTTTTTTAACATATATAGTTCAGAAGCTCAGAAGCAGAGTGGCTTAACTGATTTTTTTTGTATAATTCAGATAGGTATTACAATCTAGGTAATACTATCTGATCATAAAGCAGTATATCTGAACATGAAGCAGTTTATTACTCTTAACAAACAATCCAGAAAAATCCAACGTTTAGGTACGATTTTTTCCTTGTAGATTCCAATATTGTTGCTTGACTTCTGGTTGACACTTTCCCTCTGTGGACGTGGACTATAATCTCAGTAATTTTTTCAAAAGGCTTGTCTGTATCTTTAATAAGGCATTTTCTTTAATTACAATTAAATTAAAACATCACAAACCCTGGACCACCAAAGGTATCCGCACTTTATAGTTCAGGGACAGCGGTCGAAATTCGTCAGGAAGTCTGATAATGAAAAGCTTACACCATCTCATATTGATCAAACCGTAAAACATCCAGTCAAGAAAATGTTTTGGGGATGTTTTTCATACATAAAGGTTGGATCTTTGGTGTCAATTGAAGGCATGATGAACAGCCAAAAATACAAATCTATGTTGGAAAAGTATTTGGACAAACAACTTCAAAAATGTCAACCCCAAGGAGGAGCGATTCTTCAACAGGACTCTGCTGCCTGTCACAAATCAAAGGAAATGATGACATTTTTCAAAAATAAGAAGATTAATGCTTTAGATTGGCCCAGTAATTCGCCCGACCTTAACCCCATTGAAAATTTATGGGCCATTTGCAAAGCTAGACTGCGAAAAATCGACTGTACCACTAAAACAAAAATGATAGAAGCGGCCATTCAGGTTTGGTATCGAGATGAAAGGATATCTGACAACTGCCAGAAACTCATAAAATCTATGCCAAAACGGGTAAAAGCAGTAATTGCTGCCAAAGGGGGACATATTTCCTACTGAATGATGTAAGTTTACCTTTATAGTTTTGTCAAAATATAATTTTTTTATACTATTACTATTACTATTATTATATGTACTATTAAAAATTAGTAAGAGACTTATAAAAGCCTGACTTTTGTCCTTTCTCGTTGCAAACAACACTTTATCACAAAATCAGTTCAGCTTTTTATCCAATAAATGTACCAGCGATTTTATGTTTTCTGTACTACATGAGGTCTATCAAGTACTAAACAATAATCTTTATACTGCCACTGTTTTTTGTGACTATGCCAAAGCTTTTGATTGTGTCAATTACGACATTTTGATAAAAAAACGAAATTTTTACACAATTCGAGGTATTTCTTTGAATTGGCTTACTTGAGAAATAGGAAACAATTGGTTAAAGCAAATGATACTGACTCTAGTCACAAAGGTATTATTTGTAGAATACCACAAGGTTCAGTACTTATTTTTCTTATCTTTGTAAATGACATCACTAACTTAAAAATCGATGGAAATTTTTTTTTTAGCTGATGATACCAGTATTACCTGGAGGAACTGGAGGTTTGCAAATCATTTTTCAAAAAAGCTCTACAAGTTTCAGATGGAAGGCTCTCTCTCTCTTCAATCCTGACCCCCCGGGGGAAGTGTAGTGATCGACGTGATGTCCTGTATTGTCCGTCTCCAGAGATCTCTGTCTCTGGTCATTTCTTTTAATTCATTTTAGGCTTTGGCATATTCCTGTAATTTTATCTATCCATCTTGTTGGGGATCTTTCTCGTGATCTTCGGCCTTTTACCTTTCCTTGTATTATGAGTCTTTCCATGTTTTCTGAGTTTGCTCTCATAACATGCCCAAAATATTTTAATTGTTGGAGATGGACTTTACTAGAGGGTCGTTGGCTAACTTTTAGCTCTCTTAAAATTGAATTATTTGTTCTACGGTCGGTCCAAGGAATTCGTAACATTCGTCTCCAACAGAACATTTCAGTGGCGTCTATCTTTTTTCTCTCCGATTGTCGTACAGTAAAAGATTCACATCCGTAGGTCAGTATTGGGAATATTAAGCAGTTGATCAACCTCATCTTTATCGCTCTTGAAATTTGACAGTCCTTCCATATTTTGGTCATTTTTGCTGTGGCAACTTTTGCTAGATCACATCTACGTTTAATCTCTTCTTGTTATGACCCTGTGTTTGTGACATGGAAGGCTCACCATAGCTTTAATAAACAAATCAAGATTCAAACGAATTATCACACCACCGCTGGATAAAAGAGGCAAGCACTCTCTTAGGAATAATGCAAGGGAAATGGATACTTAAATTATAAAAGATTTTTATTAAAATATTAAAGACATTCTTGTGCCAGACGATTGGGTGAAAGTTATTTCCAGTTACTATAAGATTAATAAATTTCAGTTATTTAAAATGACCTCTAAAAATTTTAAGTGTACTGAAAAACTAGAGAAGTTACTTACAAATCGGAAAAAAGGGGAGCAAGATATAAAAGTTGAATGGCTTAAAATACCGTGGAGAATGTTCAAAGCAGAAGTGTCCTTCAGAATTTATTGCAAATATTTTAATAATGAGATTGTATAATTTAACTGTATTGACGTTTTAAAAAAAAGACGTCTTTCAGACAAAAGAGAAGACTTCTATTTACTATCTACCTGCTGGAAGATCCATAGAGCAACTATGAATTGAATTGAAAAAATGAAATGAATTCTACACAAACCTGAAGAAAAACGTGATGGCAATAGATAATAATATTGGATCGGAAACAGATAACTAGTTAACCCAAGTGAAAGTTTTATGTTTTTTCGTACAAATTTAATATTTCACATAGTGGCCCAACTGGCAACTAAACGCAGCAACAAAAACGAATTAGCAAGGTTAAATAGAGAAATTAAAACAGCATGTGGGAATGATAAAAATTAACATATAAATGAAGAATGCAAAGAACTAGAGAGACATGCAAACCGGTATGAATCCTATTAGCGATATAACAAAGTTCAATATCTATCCAGGGAATTTAAACCAATCACACAAACAATAATGGATCAAAACCAGCATATTATAAATGACGAGAAAGGGATTGCGGAGGTATGGAGAAAATATTGTCAGAGTCTATATGCAGATGATCCTCAGAATGCAAATCACGACGAGTTCACTGAAGAGAGAGAACCAAATATTTAAAAGTCAGAGGTAGAAAAAGCAGTCAAATGGTTAAAAAATAGAAAATCTGCTGGCGTAGACCAAATCACCCCTTAAGTTTTAAAAGTAACTGGAGATGTTGGAGTAAATATTCTGTATATGATCTGCAAATAGATTTGGGAAACCGGAGAGTGACCCAACGACTGGACAACATCTACTTTTATCCCTATATTCAAAAAAAGATCTCCGCTAAATTGTAGCAACTACAGAATGGTAACCCTAATATACCATGCAAGCAAGGTTCCACTTCATGTAATACATGAAAGACTAAAAACTTTTCTATTGCCTCAGATATCAGAAGAACAAGCGGGATTTGTCCCAGGAAAAGGCACAAGAGAACACATTCTTAATGTCAGACATCTAATCAAAAAAAAAACTCGTGAATTCAATACTCCTATGCTTACGTGCTTTGTGAATTACATAAAGGCCTTCGATAAAGTCAAATGGTACAGGTATAATCCATACTAGCGGAAATGGGAACACCCCACCACTTAACTCAACTAATTAAAAGTCTATATGAAAATAATAAGTGTACAGTAAGAATAAACAAGAGAGTAGGGGTACACAAGAAGCAGAGATAAACAATCGAATAGCAAACGCTTCCCGGATATACCACGCAATTAAGAGCACATTCCTATCGAAAACAGAAGTATCCCAAAAAGTAAAGAAGCAAAAAAGCTATCTACAACACAGTTTTTGTACCTATCTTAACGTTTGGATGTGAAAGCTGGACGCTCACCACCAGACTAAAAAATAAACTGCAAAGTATTTTAATGAAGTATCTAAGAAGACTACTAGGAGTGACCAGAATAGACAGGATACGGAACGATAAAATAACAGAACGCCTTAAAGTCCAATCAATAGAGAAGAAAATTGAAGAAGCCCAACTGAGATGGTACGGCCACATGGTAAGGATAGATAAAAAAGCCAAGTTGCAACAAGAAAGAGACCTAGAGTACCTAGAGACCCATGGAAGATCCCAAGCAGTATGAGTATATCAATCAAAAAAATTTGATTAACCAAGGGTAGATCTCCAAGCCGTTTGAAGCGCTAGATCAAATCAAACTAGTTTGAATTAACCAGAGAGTTACAGTGAAGCTGAACAACTAAGCCCAGGACATGAAGGATAGGGGTGAAATCGTGAAAAAACTGTAAAGCGCGTAAACATCCCAAAAGGAATAGGATTACAGCGAGAAGGTAGGGTGGGCCATACCTGACTTTTTTTGTATAAGAAAAGTTTTTTGTTAATCTTTTGCTCATTCAACTTATATAATGTATAAGGTTCCAATACTGTTTTTGTAAGTGAATAAAATAATACTGGTTTAATAAAAAATATACTGGTTTCATTTTTAGCCTAATTTTTTAGTTGCCATATCTCAAAACATCAATTTTACTCAAATTAAAAAATAAATATCTTAATATTCTTGTTTATTTTTCATTCCAAGGTTTAGATAAATGTTCTTCTTTTCTTTCTATAATTAATATGTTTTTAGTTATATTTAAAAATGCAA